AAGTCCTTCTGTTGAATCACAAATGGTGCCATTCGGACATGTGAAGGTATCAGGCATGTGTAAAACATCCACCAGCAATGAGATGTCACTCTTTTTAAATCTGAAGTCTGCCTTACACTCTGTGGCGTCTTTGTTTTCGAGGGAAAATTTTTCGTAATCCCAGTGGCCAAACGGAAGGTTTGGTGAAGTGAATTCTTCATACAGCACGGCAAATTCTTCGTCATCTATTAGCTTTTCTTCCAGACTAAGGAGCAAAGCCTCCTGTAAAGTCTTAAATGAGTTTTAAAACATTCTTGTAGGGAAAGGTGAAAAGCGTTTTACTGTTTTCCAGACGATGACTATTAGTCTAAATGATCGCGTTGTTGATCTTAACTACATATTTCCCGCGCTTAGAACGCGGTGCTCACCCCAGCCCCACTCTCGGTTTTCACGTTTTCCAGACCACTGCGTTGTCGGTTGTTAAAGTCCCTAATCTTAAACTCCAAAACTTTCCTTGTTAAAGCCTTACAGTTGGAACCTCCAATAAACGACCACCTCGTGTAAGCGACCACGACCACTTTTTAGGCTTGAAAGTTAAAAATGATGTTCCATTGTTTTTAACCTCTTGTCAGCGACCACGTGACACATTCTCTGATCTATATGTTAGCTGTGTGCACTATGCTACTTAGATTACACGAAGAACTTTATAGTAACAACATGGAACTACTCATGGAGTAACTTAGAAATTGCATGCAATAAATTATCTTCCATAAAGCAGATGTGCTCGGACATCTTCTTGGAAGAGGCCCCCTGTGGTTCGATTCTTAATTGTGAGCGACCACCGGCACCTCCCGTACGCGACAGCTAAGTCTTTGCATTTTGGGTGGTTGCTTACGGAAGGTTCGACTGTATTTCATTTCTGTTATTGTAGGCATAGAAACTACGAAAAAAAGATCAAGCTGTTTGTCTTCTTTTGCATCTTCAGGCGTGATTTCCCTTTTCTTTGGTGCTACTGATTCTTTGTTCCTGTTTTTTTTCGGCCAAGCACCCTCTTCTCTTTATCCTCACGATAGGGTCTTTACCCCACTGAAGAGCAGAATGTACAACACAAACTGCTGAAAAGGACGTCGAGCGAATACATTGAGAACTGGAACATTTCTGTGACTCTCACATTTACAAGTGTCGGAGCCAAGCTGGGAGGTACGGCGGCTGTAGTGCATGTACGGAAAAGCAACACTGAATTGAAACAATATAACGTATCTAACATTGAACTTAATTTTAGCTTAGAGTCAAACCTTTATTAAGCAGTTATTTTGCTAATTTCCGAGGTTGGCCGCTTAATAGAGGTTTTAGAATTAAACCCATAATGCGGCAGAAGTTGATGTAGAGCGCAAACTTTATCACTTTCTTTACAATTTATTGTTCACAAAAACTGTAACCCGGAATATAATAACAGTGTTTGATGGTCTGAGGAGTTTTCGCTTAAAGAACAAATTTTACAATAATGTCGTGCGTAGGCAGGCGTCTTTACAATCAAGCACATCATCAGTAATTCCAAAACCTTATTCAGAGAGGCATGTATTTAGTAGCCAGATGACAATGTTATGTTTTCGTTTGATGAGCTTTAAAAAAACTGGACATGCTTCGCTTACTTTTGTCAAAAATATGTCTTTTACTGATTGCTATGTAACAAGGTGACCGTTTAGTCCAGGTAAATGATTATAAAATTAGCCATTGGGGAAATCCAAATAGTGACCGCGCGTTCTCTTAATAAAGGTGACCGTTCAATAGCGGTCAAATTGACAGTAAATAAGAGAAGCAAATTTTGAGAATTGATAGGTGACCGTTTAATTGAGGGTAACAGCTTAATAGAGGTTTGACTGAATGTTTTGATGACATCGCCGCTTCCATAGCAACAGAATAACGATGACATGAAATCTATAAATTTTCTTGAAAGATAGCAATAATCTGTTAAAATCCTCCAGTGTTCTAATTGTTCTAATACAATTTGTCTTGACCTTGGCAAGATTTGAAAAAAAAAAAAAATCTATGATAGCTTTTCTGAAATATAAAGTTCTAAAAATTGTGCATCCCCCCAAATGTATTTTTCACTTTTCTTTTTTAATCATCAAAAATGATGACTTACAGAGCCGGTACCTTGCAAAGTTTTATACCTAGATTAAGGTGCGTGCGGTTCAGTTGTTTCAGTAGTGGAAATTGGCAAGTCATTGCTCTATGTGATCACATATTTTGCTATATTCACCCCTATAAGATGTTTTTGCTCATGTAAGCCGAAAATGTTTCATTTCAACAGTAGAAACTCTCTGTATTCTGTTTTAGAAACGCTAAACAAAACCATTCACCACCGATTTGCCAATTTCCTTTATTTTAAGTTAATGGTCAAGTTACATGTCACTTGAGCATAATTAAACGTTAAGGCACAAGACGACCGCAAGATTTACTTTTGGGGAAAAAGTAATATTGCTTTAGGTATCCTAGCAAGAGATATTGCCAATCAATCATATATCCCAAACACGCCTTTGACCTAGGCCTTAAAGACTCCTTAAACCACTTGAGCAAATGGCATTATGGTTCATGTTAAGCACTCTATCAACAAAACTAAATGGAACTGCAGCATTGTCAGTCGATCTATTAACTAAATAAGACAGTTCCCTATGAAATGTTTTCCTTTTATTGCGTTCGACGTTAGGAGTGCGCAACCACTAATCTTGGACATTCTGTGGTTCTTGGGTGATATGAGGTATTAAGGGGTGAGATTTAACAAGTTTACCTTTTCCGCTATTCTTCTTGTCAGTTCGATGGCAGTTTGAATTACGTCATGGCGGACCATGGTCACGTGCTACGCAACGAAAAAAGGCTCACGTGCATGCAGCAAACTTATCTTTCTTTCAACAAAAGAACAACTATGACACCACAGATGTTGCACAGGTTTTTCAATGACTGGATAATCGAACCGGTGTCAGAAACAATTAAGAACAGGGTTCTGGACCATTTTATTCGTTGATGTTTTACAAGTCACCCGGGTTTGTAAACAATCTATTTCATGCAAGAATGGTGCAACTTGTTTTCCAATTCTGATGTTTACGTGAGACACTTCAATTCGTATTTGGTTCTCAATATCTCTTGATGCCCACCGAATATATATTTTTCTTTTTGGAGATATTCGCCCCATGTAAGGGAATCGCGGATTCCGGAATATGGGAAAATTTTGTTTATGGAATCCGGAATCCTTGGTTGTGGAATCTGAAATCTCACTAACGATTGGAATCCAGAATCCAAGTTCTAATGACAAATACTGGAATCCAGTTTCTTGAATCCGGAATCGAGAATCCAAGACTGTCCTGGATTCCCTCACGTGGGGCGAAGATATCATCAACTAAACTTTGTGGCATTTCCTTGCACATCCGATTTTTATAATTCGACCTCGGACGCACTCCATAATCTTAATTGATTACTACACCTTTGCTGATCAGAACCAGAACGTAAACTATAAATAGCGTAGTTACCACATATATGATTTCCATTTATTCATAACTTCAAAACTTAAATTGTGAATCAATACAGAAAGGGGTTGCCTTAAGCAAATATCGACAACAGTAGTTGATGGGATGCCAGGGCATTGCAAATACATTTATTGGCACCTGCACCACTCCAACGCTTACCGAGTGGGGAAGAAATTGTATCAGAAAGTAGGATGGTGTTCCTTAATAAAAAGAAAACACGAAAAAAGTAGACGGACAACATGACGGCGTAGAGATAGTTTGGAGTTTTAAAACAACAGTGCTTGAAATTTGGACCAAATATTGAACAGAAAATAGTTGCGATACTGAACACTTCTCTCTGATAGAACCGATCGTGAGATAGAAGAGACCTTTCACCCTTTTCCTCTGATAATAATATTATCATTTCTTCATTTCACTCTACTTATACCTTCGCACGTTCAGGTTTTTAATGCACTTGACCAAGGGTAAGTGTGGTGTATTTAATTTCATACCAGAAAGCTCAAAGATGTTAAACAACAACCTTATCCCCTATTGTCTCTGTCGGGTCCTTTTTGCAGTTTCCCTGCTTGTCGAGAGCAGTCAGGGTACATAAAAACAAATTCTTCATCTTTTTATTTGCACGCTGTAATATGATTTTCTGATAATGGTAGTTTTGTGGCGTCCTAAGTCGGAAGGAGCAGAAGAATTTGTGATGGAACTAGCTCGCAAAGAAGAAATTAGCAGGTGTCTCAAAACAGTTGTGGAGTTAATTCATCAACGTCTTAACGTGTGCTTTTAAAAGTGGTTTAAAAAGTATGTTAATATCTTGGTTCAAGTCCATTTTGCAAATATTCCGATCTTCTCTATAACATGCAGCCAGCCTTTCAACAAGGCGGTTGCAGTTTTTCCAGGGAGCGTTCAGGTTAGCTTGTCCCCAGTCCCCAATTAAGCTTCCTAAACCTTAAAATTGATAACCTATTAATACGTTTTAATAAATGATGAAGTGTGCTTTACATCACGGTGAATCAAATACGATTGTCTTTAGACAAATGTCTCATCAGGAAATACCAAGCACAAGTGCTCTTAAATAAAACGACAGAAAGACTACAGAAAAGAAATACAAATAATGATCTATTAGCCCTCTGAGTAAGAGATGAGACAACTGAGTACGAAATATTTCTTTAAGTTATAAAAGAAACTGTAAGGCACTTCATTCTAAATCATTTTTTTGAGATACGCCACAGATATCTCGCACCTCCCAATTATTTTCAACGTTTCTCGTCTTTTGCATGTATTCAAGTATTTCTTACAATATTTCCTACGTGGTGTGTTTACCTAAGCATTTAAAAGAAAATTCCTTTCATTCCAGCCAACGAGTATCATGGCCTAAATATCCTTTAGGTTAAAAAATAAACTCAATTTCAGTACAGTTGCACGTTCAGGCACTTAACCTATCACCCTCCTATTCATCAAGAGCGTATATAATAACATCTGAGAAAGGCTTCTTCATTAAAAGCAATGACGCCGAACATTCACCGTGGCCAGTTACGTCTGTGCTGCGTTTTTTTCGTTCTTTGGCTTCTCGTCCAAGGCAGTAAAAGTACATAAACTTGAAAATTCTCATCAATTTTCTTACTCATTATAATCGCTGTTTCTTGCTAAAGGTGATTTCTTAGCGTTTGAAAATAGCAAGAGCAGATGAAGTTTTAGGGTGTGGCACGTTCGCAAAGAAGAAATTAAATTGCGTCGAAAATCAGTTGTGGGTTCAGTTAATGGGTTAACATTAAAATAATTATAAATAACTAGTTATTAAAAAAATCGTATTCTTTGTGTTCTTATAATTGATATTGCAAATATTTTAATTTTTATTTCTTTTAAATAGCAGGCATCTTTAAAGCTGGTAAAGCCAACGTGACTACAGTTTCTCCTGGGCTATTCGCTTGCCAACAGGTCTCGTTTGCGACACCTTTCCATGGTGGACACGAAGTTACTGTTCTTGCTTCACTGGGTCGTTCCATCAAAAGCCCTACTCGTGGTAACGGGGGCGCCATCTGGGTGGAATCAGTAGATCAAAGTGGTTTCAAGGCTTGTATTCTAGAATACAGTGATGGGTCCAATAACACACGGAGGTGGACTGGATAGCAACACAATCTGCTCCATCTGGAGGTAAAAGGGGATCTATATCTTTTGGCGATTGGACAACAGGAACAAAGTGCAAAATAATTAATTTTCAGCAGGTAAGTGTTTTAATTTGTATTTTTTTTCTAATTAAAGGTATGTTAAGAGTGATCTCAACTAATAGTGCAATATTTCCATTTTATAAGGGGTCATGGCATCAATATATCAGCGGTATAGACACCTTAAGACGGTTGTAAACATTTCATTGGTTCATTGGTTCGTTCTAAAGTTTTCTTTCTTTCAATTTTCTTTTTTTTATCATATGAGTTTCTTCTTTCATGGCAAGCCTTACTTTTCTCTTGAGATGAAAGAAGAAGTACAAATTGACAATAACTTATCAAATATGTAATCTAAAACTTTAAAAGTTTTATAAAGTGTATGTCGCTCACTTTTGGGTTGCTTTCAGCCTTTCCTGTCACCCCCAGTCATACTTGTAACCCCTAAACACCAGACCCCAGAGAGACCTCAGGATGCAATGGCCGTGTGGATGGAGGACTCACGCAGGGACAGTTTCAAGATTTGTGTCAAGGAATCTAAAATTTTCGATGTAGTTCACAAAAATATTGAAGTTGTAAGTAAAGTAGTAGTTACGACACGGTAGCCGCCTCAAATTAGAGGGTTCAAATAATGCATTCCACCTGAAAATGATAATTTCAATTGATTTATTTCTATATATAAGCCTAACTGCAATTAACCTTATCATACAAAAAGAAAAGACAGAAAGCAGGAATAAAGCCAAGAAGGAATTATTTAGTCATCTCTATGCAAATTAAGATTTGATATTTTGTTAAGATAATGAACTAAAAAATTTTGCAGTACAATATAATTACATTTCAATTTGACATCAAATTTAAGGTCTGGTTGGCCACACCAAAGACATTTTAAGCTTTATCCTCTCGCCAGTGCCAGATCTTTCCAAATTAATGAACGTTTTAATTCTCAGCACTAACAACCCACTTATTTCTGGAGAGAGGTTAAGATGGAGGGGATAACGGGACATTTATATTCCACTTTATTGTTTGCCAGGTCCCCTGAAAGGCAATACTCCTGATGCTTGTATTGTTAGCGCGTTGCAAATTCATTATCTTATCAGCTACCAATTCACCTCAATATCCACAGAAACAACTGGCGTTGACGTTGCGTATCTTATAAGCTCTCAGCGCCAAAATACGTTTCCTGATAACGAGAGGAAGGATATATTGGAAAAGAGTACGATGTTCCGTATAGTGATATAAGACTTGATTAGTGAGAAATGCTCTATATTGGCCTCATATGACCTTAATCGGCCAGCAAAATAGTCTCAAATGGAATATTATCTTCCCACTGCAGGTTATAATGAGAAATAAAGATTTTATAGTTGTGAAAGGTTTGAACCCAGGAGTCTTTTCAAAAGTAGGTTGAGTTTGATCGTCCGGGTGAACGTAGTCCTGAATCGGACTGTTGTTGTTGACAGTGACTGACGTTTCGACAACCTGAGCGGTAGTCATCTTCAGGGTCAAAGTGAGTTGTATCACGTCAGTTGATGGTATTATGCTCTGGTTATTGATCTGATTGGTCAATTACGTCGCGATGTTATTGCAGCAGACAGTCAATTCGGCACTACAATAACCGATACTTCTGAGCATTAGTCATTTTGGTGCGTTTCGATCCGTCTATTGTCACAGTTAAACAGTCGTCTGTTGTTAGTAAAATTGTCAGTTCTCCAGTCGTTCTCTCGTAGTTAGTTTTGCTTGATCTCGTCAATAAGTCGTTTGTACGGTGCTGGTAATTGTTGGCTACGATTCAGTGGCGTTTGTTCTAAGTTAGTAAACCAGCTTTCTAAAGTAAGACGTTGATAGTAGTCTGTAGAATACGTTATACATGTCGTAGAGTCCCAGTCAATTTGATGTTTCGTCTTTAAATGGTGCTCAGCAATGTTTCTTTAGTTTGAAGTAATCGTTGGCATGCTCACGCCTCTTCGCTTTGCATGTTCGAATTTATTAGTTTCACGGAGCTTAGTTTCTTTAACTTCTAGGCTTTTTCATACCTTTTTGCCCAGTTGCGTTTTCTTTTTTGCGCTTGCGTTTTGTTTGTCACCCTTTTTTTGTCACCCATTATGCTTTTATTATCATGCTTTTCTATCACGTAACTGTTAGTTTCGTGGTGGGCTGTTTAAGCAGCGTTTCTTGTTTATTGAGGCGGCCCCTTTTTTGACTTGGGGCTCTATAGTTTAATGTTTTCTTTATTTGAAACTTTTATTTTTGCCTTTGTTTATTATCAGCAAAGGCGAGTTATTGTTGCGTGGAATAAGTTTAGGGATGCCACTAGTGAAAAAGTTTTATTCAGTAAACTAAGGGGGGTCGGGTCACGATTGGTTTTCTACATTTTCAATGTGTATCTGGTAAGGCCTACTCTGGAACCTTAACTCGCCTTAACTCGCCCTAACTCGCAACTTGAGATTATGTTCAAATTTCCTTATCTCGCCTTAACTCGCCTAAACTCGTATTATCTCGCACAAACTCGCCCAATCTCGCCACTGCCAAGTGGATACCAATTTTAATATCTCATCCTACTCTTAGTGTAATTTCACAATTACTCCAAAGATGCCAAAGGATACAAATTTCAAAAGTTTAAAAGATAGTGATTTTTAAGGAAAATAGGGTTTTTACCTTTAAAAAATATGTAATAAATTGACCAATCCCATCCTTCTGGAATTTCCAATAGTCTCTGTGGTAAGGGTATTTCACCACTAAAGATTCGATGAGGTTTTTCCTACTTAACATTGTCATGCCTTGGAGTCACAACTGGACTGTCAATGGAACTACAAGGAACAGCCTGAACATGCACTAACTCGTTGCCTAACGAAAAGGCTTCAATGCTAAGCATGGCGGAAATTCCAGAGGCATGGGGTCACAGGGTCTTACAAATCCCATGTTGAATGTTTGTGTTTTGGTCCACAAAGTAAGTGACATTAACTAAAAGCACAAACAGTGAATCCACGAAAAAGTTTTCATGAAATAGTTTAAGTTTTAGTCTTACACTTCTAGGCGAGACAAAGAAACACTCTAAATTCAAGATTGCTTTGAATCTCTCAACTGAAGAAAAAAAAATTCTCCTATGATTTGTTTTTAATTTTTGGCTTAAAATAAGAAATCTCGAAGTTAGAGTGAAATGCAAAAACATAATACCAGAATATTAAATTTTTAGTTTTAAGCTGGTTAAGAGTTGATGTCAGTAAGGATCAAAGATCGGGCGGACAGAGCTCAAAATTTGATTTCGCCTATACTTTGTACATTGGTAGGCCCAGGTACTATACATATGAAATCAAGGTTTATTTGGCTAAATATTG